TAAGTCCCTTAGACTGTCATGAAACCCTCCCATAATCTGTCAATTGCACGGATTTGAACAGAGGAACTGATCCCTAGACGCGATTTTAGGTCGGGTCAAAACTGGCGAAAATGGCTTCGACAGTAAGGCCACGGCACGTGACACGGGCGTTTAAACACTAAAGAGGTAATCCGTTTATTACATAATGGTATCAGACGCCCGTCGCCCGTGCCACAGAGCCTTCGGCATGTTGTCCTGGAGAGTTTCCAAGATATATAGTTGCAAAGCTTTCAAAGAAAATAGTTCTTCACTAGGTCCCATAAAATGAACAACTATGAGGTCACAATGATGTGCAACATGCTCTATTGGTGTCATGAGTCGGTCAAAACCGACCCAAGGCCAAGTCACGTGATGCTCAAGCGCGCGCTTAACTGCGTACAAAAGTGGATGCCACTAATTGAACTGCACCATAGTCCTCGTGTCTTGTCTTCGACTTCCATTATGGCATTGCTCCATTCTCCGTCGGGGGCGCGGACTACACGAACCGTGCCTAAACCATGCCCGGTGTCCTATCAAGGGAGCATACGCCGGGATCAGCTTCTTCCAACCGCACGCTCTGGTGGCGTTTACCAATACGCATATCATACGACGGCGATGCATGCGGGAAGGTTGATTTGCAGATTGAGCGTCGCGCGCATTCACCTTTCCTTCATGCGCCTTACGCATGCGCCAAGCACCAAAACGATCCATCCACTGTGCGTCAAATTGACATTGAGATTGAACCTTCATTTGCACCCTAGAGCTCACCCGCACGAGCGCAGAGGAAGAACTCGAGGAACCACTTCAGGCGTAGAAGCCAAAGGCAGGATAGGATCGTCCGCTCACGACGAAGCGCCGAGTGTCGGCAAACGCGTAGCGTCACCCGCATGCAGTCACCAAGGCATTGTTGCCGCAAGTGCGCGGTGGTCTGGGTCTGTCTGCTTTCGCGGCCATGGTCTCCTTCGTTGTCTGGCTCTGTCTCTCCCCCAGGCGGCCGTCTCACTGACTCAATCTCCCATATGCCCCTATATATCGACTTCTCGGGCAACTGTACAGCAGCTAACGCTAACATTCCCAGCCCACACAACAGATCTTGCTCCATGTCGTCTCCCATCCCCATCTGGGGATCACTAGGACCTTTGCACACGACACTCTCGCCTCCATATGGCACCTGTGCCTTAATCCTTCGCTCGCATCAGAATGACAAACTTCGCAAAACGTCGTCCAGCCGACACCCGTATCTGACCCACCAGCTCGGTCGTGACAAACCATACCTCCCCCGTCTTCTCGTCCCGCTTATCTCCATCTGGATGCGGCATCAGCAAGCCGCCCAATTGCCAGCCCTAGAGTCCTCTGGTTCACCACCTTCCTGCGATGAGTGGTGGACCCAACCTGATATGGTGAGTATTCCTTCTCCTTGTTCTCTCTCATCTTTTCTCCTCGCGCGAGCTCTGTAGGTAGCATTCCGAGAACATATGGATACGGCGAAGGCGCAGTCAAAGGTCGGGCGAGGGGGCAGGAGGTCCGAGTGGAGAGCCCAGCGCGTTGGCTGCCGGAGATTTACATCGACAGGGGAGTCCGTATGAAGTTGAGGATGTGGTGCAAGAACACAGGCAACGTATTCATGAATTGTCTGTCGATCCTGCACTTTGCATGTATACGACGCCTTCGATCGATCGCCCTCGCCCCTGCGCTGATTATGTTTGGAATCACGTAAGACGTAGTGGTCAAAGATCCTCATTATAGCCCAATCAACCTCTATCGCACTAAAGTACATGCAGCGTGCATCACAGCTCTGGCCATTGTTGGCTTGGTACTGACTGGATGGCAAATCTAGACTCCTTCGCGGCCACAGTCATGGGTTGTATGTATCTCAGAAAGGTGCGGATCCTACTTGATCTTAGTCAAACACGATATTCATCAAGGTGTTCAGGAATCAGCACAACCGGCTGCGTCTTACACACACCACGAACACGAGAGGAACCGACGGGAAACAGGTGCATGTACGTCGTGAAGGGATCAGTCACGAGAAAAATGAGGCGAGCTACACGGTCACAAAGTTGTCTGTATGCTGGTACATCTACCCGATATACTAACTGCCATCGCCACCGCCCTCTGACTCGTCGCCCGTTCAGTACCCGTTCCACGCTTTCCCCCATCACGTGCCTCCAGCCGATCCCTGTCATCCGAGTGCAACATGAAAAGATGTACGACGGCAGTCGGTCTTTGGTGGCACCGGCCTCGGCCCCAGTATTCTGCTCGCCCACTCAGCCAACGGCATCCGACAGTTGACATTCCCCCCTCCCCGGGCTCAGGCGACGCGGTGTGGCGGTTAGGGTGTCCGCGACGATTTCAACGCGTAGGAAGTAGTGCGACTGCGCCGCCCAGTCTAGGCTGAGCTTCATGGTGGGCTTCGTCGCACTGGCGAGGGTGGAAGCGACCTGCGCGGTGTCAAGCGATCCTCTCCACCGAAACCTCCGCGATGCGTGATTGCTCCAAGACACGGCCCTAGGAATCATCTGTATTTCCCTAGCCGACTCGTGTGCAGATCACGACATCTTCGCATAGTCCTCGACCCTCAATATCTGACCGTTCGACTCTAGGGTATGCTAGTACACGACGGTGATGCTGTGGTCCTCGCAGGAGAGCATGAGCCAAGTGAGCAGTCGGGTGGCCCTCGTCTGGACCTCAGAGTTCCGCGGTATACCTTTGCGCATGTAGAGCGTCGCGGGTCCTCCTCCCCAGCAATATATTGTTTGTCTCGTGTGGTTGACTGCGAGCAAAGTCTAACTGTGCTGGCACGCTCCGGATGAGACACATAAACCGTCTTGAGCGTGACGTATTCGCGACAGCGCTCGATGTCGCCGGCCACAGGGGAAGAGTTCGGGCCAATACTTCCGAGGACCGCGTCTTGGTAGTGGCGTATGCATGTACCCGCAGTGTGAATGCTTAACGCCAGACGTAGAGGGAGGGATTGAGACCAGGAAAGGTTTCGTGTTCGCATCCTAGGGTGGCCAATTATCACTGTGCAGCATGTCAGGGTCATACTTTTACCTTGGGCTGGGGAAGGCAACGGGCGAACGCTATCACAGGAAATCGAATCTCAATGCCATGTGTGGTGAAGTGTGGAAAACAATCGGAGAACGGAAGCCTAGAGAGTATCCTGCAACCGGCGGAAGGCCCGCTCGCGCTCACCGTAGAATATAGGCATATTGATGTCAAAGATTCCGAGAAGCGAGTACGCCCAGTTCTCAGTGCGCGTGGTTTCTCTGTTCGCAGCCCACGAGAGTCGCTGGGCAACAATGAACTCATCCCGGAGCGAACTCAACAGCAAAGTCTCCCGAGGGTCAGCCGTGATGTCCTCGATGAGGTCGACAAGCGTGAACGTCGTTCCAATGGCCTTCCAATCGGCCAAGAGGAACTTCATTGTGTAGGACGCAATGAGTACATGAAGCGTCCACCAGCGCGTGAACCCTTGCCTCCAACGAGATTGGACTCCGGTGAAGGAGGGTCATCGCTAGGAGGGACGTCAGCGAGGTACTGGGGCTTTCGCGATGCCATACCATAGATCATCGCCCTGATAGCCTCGGACAGCTCAGAGCTGCCCATCTTCTCGATCTACATGTACTCGTATCCGGTCCCGCGTGCCACCCTACATGCTTCTCGGATCTTCGGTGAGAGGTCACGATCGTCCCAGATGCAGCATGGCGACGGGTCTCCCTCAGAAAGCCGGGGCGGTGTGTCTCGGGGAGGCCCTGCGATAGCTTCAGTAGTTCGCCGGTAGTCGTTGAGGGCAGCGGTGTGTTCTGACGAATCTAGAGATGGGATAGGTTGGCGGTACGGAGCTCGAAGCACTAGAAGGATGGACTGCCAGGCCCTGTTCAAGGAGCGACGCAAGCGGAACAGTCGTGCGTTCATCGTGGTAGAATTGTCCACCCGTAAGCCCTCTCTTTCCGCGGTGCGCAGGTATCGATGAAGCATAGCGCTCTCGCCAATAATGAGGGAATCGCGGATGGATTTACTAGTGCTGCGCCGGAAAGACTCGAAGGCTGCTGTATCGGTCATCTAGCCTTGGAATGCAACCCCACGTTTGGATGTCTCTGCCAGACCCTCTGCCTCATATCCAGTCCCTGGAGATAGGTGGGTATCAGCTGCCACGCACCAGCGCCATGGATGATCACCAGCCGTCCTCACCTTCTCACGTGAGCCCAATAATGTCCTTCCCATCGCAGGCAATGCACTGCTCAGCGGGCATCATTAGCGTATCGGTGCAGGTTTTGCGCGACACGTGTCCACAAGGTTTCGTCGCTATCCGCACGCCTGTCAGTCAGTAGGAATACAGTCAGGACACAATAGAGACGCACGATGCATGCGATCGTTGTTGGACAGCTGCGTTTTGCACGACGGTCATATTGATGGCCCTTCGTTCTGCCGAGGCGTCTTGGACTGCAGTTTAGGAGTTCTGCCGCTCTCCGTTGCAGGTGTAGATTGTACCGACTTCGCGGGAACACCGCTAGACGTGGTGCTGGAGGACCATTTCCCCAGATCCAGGTGTTTCTGCCTACATGCTCTACCGGTGGGTTTATAGAACATGAACAATACTCAGGCTACGTACGTGAGTGAATGTGCTGGGTTTCCGTCGCGGCATGTCGTTTGTAGCTTCACGTCCAATAAGTAGGCGGACCGTACGTCGGCGTAAGCGATGGCAGCCAGAAGTCGGACAGCTTGCCCTTCAGAGCCTCGAATTGCTCGCGCTCGATCTGCTGGAGGGTGGCCTCCTCAGCCTCGGGTCGAAGTCAGACTTGCGTCTTGTTTCTCGTACTGGATCACAATACTCAGCATATGGCATCACGACAAGGAAGGGGGGGGATTTCAGACAATACGAAGTATAACACACCTTCCGCAGATTGCGCTTTGCTAGAGAACGTCGAGACGACGGACGTCGCCGCTAGGCCAAGCTGGCGTTCTTCGATCTCGCGCAATACACATTTTCTCGCGACCTCTTGTGCGCGTTCTCGCCCCTCCACCTCCTTCTTCAATGCCCCCAAAAGAACCTTTTGTGTCTTGATATCGCTGATTGGGACCACTGCGGTTGACGTAACGTTCGGTGTCAACAAACCACCACGATTACAGGTGCGCCAACATTGCAGTAAGACGTAGGGTGTCGGGACAAAATGGTCACGCTGATAGGTAACAAACGCACCTAGGTCATTCAAGACTTACTCCCTGCACAACCAGTGCCCCTTCTGGCACGCCACGGAGTTGCGCGCGCTGCAGGCAGACCGTGCACGCGTCGACTTAGGAAGTGTTGAGCCATCTACAATAATTCTCCTGGAGATTACTAACATACCTGTGACCTAGAGATTCAGCACTATATACTCACAAGATTTCAGGTCGCATTGGAAAATGAAGAGCTCTCGCGCGAGGTTCTTGTTGCCTGCGGGAGATGTGCAGTAGTTGACCGTGATGGACAGCGACCGCCTGCAGCCAGATGCGATATCCAGATGCGACATTATTGAGGCAGAAGAGGGGTTGAGAAGAGACAGAGAGGAGTTCAATGCTAATTGCAGCAGACGGCAGCAGCGCTAGAAGCGAGTGTCTGGCTTGAACATCAAAAACAAGTGAGACCCCGAGAAGCGCCAAGAGACGTGGTGTCACATCGTGACTGCCAGGGCATCACGTCACTTGCTCTGACTGCTCCCGCCATCTCTTCTTCCTGCGAGTCTCCTCACTGTATATAGATGCCACTCGGATGCTTCTAGTCGCTCATGAACTGCGCTTGACCGCATCCTGCTTCCTGTCACTTCGCCTCGAGCCTTACCTATAGGGCCCTTCTCCCCTGCGCCGCCACCCCTCATGGTCGCTACACATCAGCTCCAGTACTCCATCCTCGCATTGGTCTCGCTTTGCTTGACTCGAAATGGGTGATCCCCACGATAGCTGCTCGGCCAACACCCGTGTCCGACCGACCTGCTCTGCCGCAACGCCCCGTACCTCTCCTGTCTGCTCGTTCCGCTCGTTGCTATCGGCAATACATACCCCACTGGATGCCCCGTTGGCGAGTCCCCCAATGGCCTACCACGCAGGGTCGCCTGGGACATGATCTCGCAACCAGTGGGGGAGGGCAGATTCCGTTATGGTGAGCCTTCTCTGTGTCTCTCTTATCAGTCCTTGCCTTCGTGTAGGCTGTCGTTGCCCCAGCTTGAGGGTGTATGATGTCGGTAAAGGCATGTCCGCAGTGTCATTGGCCGGGGGAAGAAGTAGTAGGCTCGAGTGGGCAGCCAAGATGTTGGCTTACCTTTCGAGTTGTGATTTGCCGAGAGGCGCCCGTCGACCTGATGTCCCGCACTTAGGAGGATGAAGTGGGTTGTCACCGACTGCTCCTCACAGACAATATATTTCATATTTATTTCTCGAAGTTACATCTGCGCGACGTCGTTGATTGGTCGCGCTCACCCCCTGTAGGCACTTCTGTTCAAGTTCATGTTGGGATCGGTGCTCGCGGGCCTTCATCAAAGCGGGATCGCGACGCATCGCACCGCCGGGGATGTGCAATGCAGCTGCCAACGCCGTGCAGAAGAGGTTTGATTGGAACAAACGAGCACATGCGTACAAGGATCCCGCTGAACCTCAGGTCATGTACGCCGTGCCCAACAGGTCGTCACATAGTTTGATCTATCTCAATCCAACACTGCACTCATCGGCGATGCTGGTTTACGAGTCAAGAGGAGCTGACGGTAAATAGACTTACAAATCGCAAAGAACGAACCTCAAGAGAACGATCCGTCGTACTCGTCCGTCAAGTCCTTCGTAAGGCGGTCGTCATCCCCATACACAGCCCTCCCGCTCGACTTCGACCTCCTCGCCCACCTTCGTGCCCGCTCCATGCTCCTCTCCTTCTCGCGCCTCCAGCGGACTCGGGGGGCCATCCGAGTACTGCCTAGGAAGAAGCGCATCACCGTCAGGCTGAAGGACGCCGCCTTCGCTGGTCCCAGCCTCGGCCCCGATATCCGCTTCGCCACCCGCTCCCGACCCCGAGGCATCTGTTCCCTGCGCAAGCTGGAGCGACGGGCTCGATTCGACTAGTAGCGCCTCGGTGACGATATCGACGCGTAGGGAGTAGTGCGACAGCGCTGCCCAGTCCAGGCTGAGCTTTACGGCGAGCTTTTTCGTCGCGAGGGTGAAAGTGATTTCCTGTGTACGGTCAAGCAACTTGTTCCACGGGGCATAACCCCACCACTTCACGGAGCGAGGATCCGCCTCGATCTCCCCAGCCGCGTCAAGAGCAGGTCGCGACATCTTCACATCGGCCTCGACCGTCAACCTCCGACCGTGATACTCCAGGGTATGCCGGTACTCGACGGTGATCGTGTGGTCGTCGCAGGAAAGCGTGAGCCAGTGAGTGGTCGGGTGGTCCTCATCTGGACCTCGGAATCCCGCCGTGTACCCTTGGGCGCGTAGAGCATCGCCAGTCTTCCTCCGCAGCAATAGATTGATCGTCTTGTGTGGCTGATAGCGAGGGTCCCTAGTGTCTGACTGTGTGCTGGCACGCTCCGGGTGGGAGATGTAGACTGTTTTGAGCGTGATGTGCTCCCGACAACGCTCAATGGTCGCCGACGACAAGGGGAAGAGATCGGGCTGATCATCACTGCGACTTGGCGCGGGTGAGACTACTACACATCCGGAACACAACAGATCGATGCCGGTCCCAGAGGGTGGGATATAGCAAACGCGACCTAGAAGAGAGCCGGGGCGGGATTTGTGCTCGCAGCCGAGGATGGCGAGGTACCACTGGGATCGGGGAATCCCGTCCGGATACGCGATTGTAGCAGACTGAGGGAAGTAACGAGAGAGGGGAAGGAGGGGTATTTGTGTGCGGATACCCTGTGGACTTGGGGTGTACTCGATTGTTGAGAGGCTGGAGAGCTGGAGCCGGTCAAGTACAGCATGGGGAACAATTTGGATATCCCTACTGTCCGCACTGAAGTCGTTCATAGACGACGCAAGCAAGACACTTGGGGACCATTCTAAGCATCGAAGCGTGCATTCCGCCTGATCTGCGATGGGCTGTTCAGACATGTCAGGACCTTGGTACACGTCTTGCCACGCAAAAAGGCTTTGGTCCGGGATGCGCCGCAGGATCTCCTCTTGCAACCGGCGGAAAGCTCGCTCGCCCTCGCCATACAGCGTAGACATATTGATGTCGAAGATTCCCAGCAGCGAGTACGCCCGATCTTCCACCCGCGTCGTTGTCCGGTTTGCGGCCCACGAGAGTCGTTGAGCCACGCTGAACTCATCGAGTGACTTCTCGTGTAGTAGGGCCTCGTCAGGGATGCCAGTGATCTCACTGATGAGGTCAACGAGGATGTGCTTGGTTCCGATGATGTTCCAGTCATTCGAGAGGAACTTCACTTCAGAGGGCGAAACGAGCTCCTGGAGCGTCCACCCGCGCTCGAACCATCGGCTCGAACGAAAACTGGACTTCGGAGAGCGAGGGTCTTCGCCAGGAGGGACGTCGGCGAGGTAGGCATAGCACTCCGTTGCATCGCCATACCATTTATACATCGAGTTGATCGACTCGGTGAGCTCGGAGCTGCTCGACTTGTCGATGCAGCATGAGTCGATCCAGAGGTAATCGTACCCGGCCTCGCGAGCTACCCTGCAGGCATCTCGGATCTTCCGTGAGAGCTCGGAATCATCCCAGATAGAGAGATCCGTCTCCGTGGGAACTGTGTGGGACTGTGAGGACGGGGAAGCAGGAGGCGAGGCGTAGCCAGTGCCAGCGGGACCTCCGTAGCGCGCCTGAACGATCTTCAGCTCCCCATACGTCTGCTCCCAAGTCCTCCAAGTATGCGACAAAATAGCATAACGCGTCTTCTCAGGGTCCCTCACGACGAATTGTCCGGTCCTTGTATCCAGAAAGCGCATGATGACTGCGCGATGTTTCGGGAGAAAATGCATTCAGTAAAGGAAGAAGACGGGGAACTGATTTGTACGGACTAGTAGAGGCAGGGTTGCGTGCGCAGAGATCGGAGGAATACAAACGCGACAAGGAATTCAGACGATGCGGAGGTGAATGTGGATGGTTGAAAACGCTCCAAGAGTGGCGTTGGGATGCGTACTGCAGCAGCTCGACAAGTGTTCAGTAGCCTAGCAAAGTCAAGAGGTCTCAGGGTAGGGCGAGGCGCGCAGAGAGCGCTGTACACACGTGTGCCACCGTCGTGCGAACTCGAACCAAATATGAGAGTCGATGATCATTGAGTGGACGGATAGAAGTACCGTAGACAGGACTTCCATGCTCATAGTGATCAGCATGCTGGGTCGTACAAGCTCGAGGACCGAATGCACCGTGCATGGTGCGCAGTATCGCGCTGAGCGATAGCCTCGATCAACGAATTACGAGGTCAATTATTCGTGGAACCGGACCAGTCATCTGTGTGTCGCAAGGCTCATGAGCAGCGACTAGTATCCGGATTGTCCGGAACTTCCACTTTCGATACGGTAAAAGTCGCTACATACGGCCTCAAATTCCAGGGAAGCCTGCATGTTCCTATTGTCCACGAGTCACGACCTCAATTCTTCACCGCTTGTCGCAGCGGTCTCATCAACGTTTCTACTTGAACGGGGACGCTCCCTTTGAGCCTACGAGCTGTTCGGCCTTGCGAGGAGATTATACACTACGGAAGATCTGGAAGGGGACTAGACGAAGGGCACATAGGACACTTTGAGTTTGAGGAACGGACAACGGAGTAGAGAGCATGGACAAACACCACTGGCAGGATAAGGGCCTGTTCGGCAAAGAGTTGGAGTTAGAGTTACCGGCATTTCATGCCCAAATATAGTAATAATATCTCGGTTTTCAATCTCGAGAAAACTCGAGTTACTCGGGCGAGTGCATGCGTTCGGATGCCTCCCAGTAACTCCGGGCGGTTATTATCAGCTCAGGTCATAACTTATCTCGAGGCTCTACCCTTTTGGCAGCCTGCTTGATTCTCTCTCTATAGAGTATTGGGATGGCTACCATGACCGGCGTAGATTGTGATCAGACATCCGAGACCATCCTACTTGAGGGATTAGGGCAGGCTACTACCAAGGCCCGCCCAGTCAAAACAATGACAGTTACTGCTATAATAGCCTGTCTTCGGCGCTCTATTTGAGCCTGATGGATAGCTTGGTGAATTTAGACAGCTGCTCTTGTGTGGACCATGGTGAAGCAGGGATGAAGCAGAGCCCATCTGATAAGCCATAGCTATTGGTAT